TCATGAACTCCTTATAGGGAATTTGAATCCATATACTAAATGAGTACAGATTCTGTTATGTATTTTTCTCTTCAGAATGTACAGAATACTGAAATGTAAATATATGTGTAAAGACTGGATATGAAGTTCAAACTAATTTCCCCTTCTTAGAGAGCAAGAATAAACGCAAAATTTATCCAAGAGAAAGATAATTTTGATAGTACTTTAAGATCATAAAATCATATCTAAGAACCAATTCCTTATTGCAGTCACCAAATGTTTTGTTAGTATTTAAACCTGATTGTCAAGTAGATATTTAAGACTGATATAGGAAAAGCTTATGAGATGTTTGAAAGTAATGGGCAAATTGACTAAGTATTAATTTTGCATGAATGGCAATCAAGTTGTCTTTTGGGTTTAACCGTCCGAGTCAAACATTTTCTTGTGAAATCTGGTGGATATGCTCCTCTGTTTCTGAATGTGTCATAGTTTCTAAGGCAGTGTTCTTTGGTCTCCATTTGGTGTTGTTCTTGTACATCCTCTTCAACTTTCTGGGATTTCATTTCTATTTTTCTTTCCTTTCTTTCTTTTGCTTAATGATCCAACTTATATTGCTGAAGTGATTATTAAGCTTTTGTTTTGTCCTTGGTATTTAAATTTCAAGTCTGCAAAATCATAGGGAGTCAAAAAAGTAGTAATATTTATGAATAAGAGATGCATATTGATACAGTGTAGAAAAAAAATGTAGTTTTGAGTTTTGCTGTGCTCACTCCACATTAACAGAAACAAGATCTTCACAGCAAAAATATATGAGCTTATATTCATGTTTATTATCTCTCCTTCCCTCTGTGGTTAGTAGATATCCTACAAATGACAAACCAGTGTGTGGTGACTTAAATTCAAGGTATTGAGGTACCTCACCTCTTCTAGTTTTTCATCTTTCATATAATATGATACTATACTCACTCAAAGCGGACATACCCCCACCAGGGCCAATAGGATAAGAATGATAATTCAAGTGCCAAAAAGTTATACCTATCTCACAATACAATTGCCAAAGCAATAGGGATAACTGATGCAATTATTCAAGAAATTCCTAAATCCAGATCATGATAGATATATGTATATATATGTATATTTAATATATATGTGTATTATATTATAAATTGTATTATATATATATGTATATATATATATATATATATATATATATATATATATATATATATATTATAATATATATTATATAATTATATATATATATATATATATGTATATATATATATGTATATATTGTATGAACTGTATATATTTACATATGTATATGTATATATTATGTATTTATATATGTATATAGATATATATGTATATGTATCTATATATGTATTGTTATATATGTATATATATATTTATATATGTATTTATATATATGTATTTATATATGTATTTATATATGTTATTATATATATTTACATATATATACATATATTATATATATATATATATATATATATATATATATATATATATATATATGGATTTAAATTGTGTGTTTATCTCTTCGCATATTCATTGAGGCCTTGTTGTTGCGTGAACCCGACCCTTTTGATAAATAGGCCTAGGTCTGGCTGCCGTATTTGGTGTATTTTTCATCTTCCATTATGCTGAGGGAAATGAGCAAACTCATGATTGCTCCTCACTAACTCTTGGCAGCCTTGGAGCAGGACTGGAAAGCGATGAAAATTTATACCTCGAGTTATTGTATAAGGGGAATATGGTCGAACGAGGTTTGGAGACCTTCAAGTGACGTCTTTGTGTTGTACAAGGGGTATTTTTTTTGTATTTAGTGAAAATGTGACATTGGAGTGTTGGTACGATTGATAACTTTTGGTCTACATAAAGTATTTTTTTTCTACTATATAGTGTATGTATTTTTTAGCATTGGGATTTTTTATTTTGACGATTAGGACCAACATAATAGTAGTAGCAGTTAGCACATCTCCCAAGAAAGGGGATTACTTATATTTAACATTGATGCGGTGGTTTGTTCAGTTAGCCATACGAGATTTGTAAATTGGAATGAGTAGCAATATTGCAACATCTAAAAGTCTGTCTGATTCCAATTTGCAACACGGTGGTGTAATTCTCCTGGGCTGTTCAGTTCTCTGCCAAGCCACCAGCTTCTCACTCCATCATCTGCCTGACTGGCCACCTCTTATTGCAGAACAGATGCTAGAGAAAGGAGCTGGGGCAAGGCAGGAGAGCAGCAGGCAGGAGGACCCAGAGGAACCACTGGAAGGGAAAGTCTCGCCAAAGCGCCAGACGGCCCTCGGGAGGCGCCGACGCCCCGACGGGGACATGAGGTGGATCAGACAAAAGCACCCCTGTAACGAGTGCAACATGGTGTTCAGCACTCAGCGCAAATTCGACCTCCACTTCAACCACGTGCATCTGGGTGTAGCGCCCTGGCAGGGACACCATCCTTGCGAGGATTGCGGCAAGGTCTTCTCGCAGAAAATAAGCCTGAATGTGCACAGGATGTTTAAGCACGGGGCACCGCGGCGCTATTCGTGCAAGAAATGTTCGTATGAAGGTCCAACTAAGGAATATTTAAAGCGGCACATGAAGGTGCATACTGACGAACGCCAGTTTGTTTGCAAGGAGTGCGGGAAAGGCCTCAAAACTGCCGAGTCCTACAGGAATCATATGGTTATCCACACAAACGAAGGAAGGTTTGTTTGTGAGATTTGCAACAAAGCCTACAACCACAAAGGTGCTTACCAGGACCACATCAGGAGCCACCAGGATGATCGGGATTATGGATGCAATTACTGCGGTGCGTCATTCAAGTCCTACAAGCACGTGGCGCGTCATATTAGAGCCGTTCACTTGAACGACAAGAGATTCATTTGTGATATCTGCGGCGTTCAGCACATGGCCGGCTTTAATCTGAAGGGACACATGAAGAAGCACGGCAATGTTTCGTCGCTGCCTTATGCCTTCGAGTGCACAGCCTGCGACGCCAAGTTCCGAGGCGCCGAAGGTCTCGCCACCCACAAGAGGGTGATTCACAGCATCGATGAATCGCTGGAGAGGCCGCAGGAGCCGACGGACGTGGCAGTGCCGCACCCCACGAGACGTCCGGTCAAGTTCCACTATTCGCGCCTGTCGAACAGCACCTTACCCGAGGGTGCGGCGAGGATCGAGACCGAGGCAGGCTTCGAGACGATCTACGTGGAAGGAGAGAATTACATCGTGTACGACGCCAAGGGGGATAACGTGGTCTACGAAGTTTATAGCGACATTGCAGAGGACGAGGACCCTATCATGACGGACGCCATGACGTCAGAGGAGAACTGTGGCGAGCGGGTTATCCACGTGTTCACCTGTACCACGTGCAACATCATGTTTACCTCCGAGTCGCTGCTTGAGGAACATCAGGCTTCGTGTCATGGAAGTGACAAAAACTAGACAGTACGTTTAGAATGATCTGGAATAAAATGTGGATTAGAAAAAAAAATAATTTCTCGCTAGAAGTTTGAATATGTATGTGTATATTATTTTGTATTAATTAAAATGCATAATATATTGCTTACATGTTCAGCATCTGTACTGTCACTTGATATAATTTGCATTGCAGTGTACAGTAATGAAATTATAATTTTGATGCATGGAAACTTCTTTTGTTGTACAGTATTGTGATGGTTATTTCAAAAAGCCACAGAAACAGTGTATATATTTTTTTTCTTTATTTTCCCCCAGAAGATATTTTTGTTCATACTTTCTGATTTCTATCCCTATGTATATTTACTGGAAATACAGGTATATGATGAAACTAGTTGTCGTGTCCATCAACACATCAGATATGTTATTAATGTCGCGATTAAATGGTAAAGGTGTCATTCACACTTATATTTATTTTTTAACAAAAGAGATATTCCCTTATTTGTTTTCAAGTTGTTTTCTTGTGAAATTGCAAATGTAAGTGAATATTGGGCTGTGCATGAAATAAATATGATTACCATTGGTATTTTTCTGTTAGAAGAAGCCTTCTCTTTGGTTGAAGGTTATAGTTTTGTAATGAAGATAATGCTGTGATGGATTCTGAAGACCCCCCCCCCCCTCCACAAAAAAAATGATGAAGAATACCTTCTCTTCAGATTCTGAATGATGTAGTGTCAGCAGATTCTTAGAATAATTGCTTTCCGTGAACATTCTGAATGGGTGTCCAGCCATTGTAGTGAAAAGTATTTATCCATTGTTAGTCTGGTAGAATGAGCTGCATGTTTTCACAGGGGAGTGATGCAACTCCTGCCCAAAAGACATAAAGAGAGAAACCGTAAAACTTCTATCCTTTTTCCCCCCTTTCAAGACACTCCTGTTCTTTCCTTCTAATTCTGAATCAGTGTGTGGGTTTGTTTGTCCGGATGATTGGTGTTTTTTGTTTGGTTATGATTTTCGATTTCCAGTTGGGCTAGATTGTGTAGAATTATTTCTCTGTCACAGTTTTCAAGTCTTGCAACTGTAGGATTCTTTTCAGCTGTATTTTGTAACCTTCCTCTTGCTGCTTCTGCTCCTCAATTTCCCATCTCGTGTTTCACTTCTCTCCTCTCTGTCTCTCTTTCCCTTCTATTCATCTCCTGTCCATTTACTGTCTAAGACACAGAATACACTGTTTATGTATGATGAAGTGGATCATGAAAAAAGCCAATTTGTGAATCCTGGTACTAACACAATAAGATTTCTTAATACGAACTTCAGTAATAAAAAAAAAAATGGAAAACAGTAGACAGATCTGCGGTTCAGTAGGAGCACAGAGCGCAAGACTTCATGTAATCATTTTGTCAGGAGCCTGTTCTTCACAGTTCACAAGACCCACACAAGTCATTGTATACAAGAATACACCAGTCAAGCAATGAGTCCGGCCGAGTGTAGGAGCGGCAGTCTTGATTACTAGGACCAGATCACTAGCAAGCCATCCAATAGCTGCAACCTGACTGACTGGCCACCTCTCATTGCAG